AATAAAGTAGATGGCATTTCTTGCATTCTGGTGTGTTTTAACATTCTGTTAAACATCTAGTTTACCTACATAAGTACAGGTAAACACTTGATTCAGTAACTATTTTAAAGAGCACGGCACAAGTAGTAGCCTGACCAACAGCTCTCCTTGTGTGAATGGAGCATGCTCTGCTTCTCTCACGCATCCTAACCCCCCCACCCTGGTCGACAACTGCTGGTGTTGATGTAGTGGCGTGCAATAAAGATGCACTAGCTAAGATGCTACAGACATAGCGCTCCACTTCGCTCATGCATCCTAACAACCCCCCCACCCCCACAACAGTCGACAACTGCCGGCACTAACGTAGTGCTATTCTAGTGTGCAACACAGAGGTTTCTCCCCCTCCTCCCCTCTGTCCTGTCGACAAAAAACCTCGAAGAGATGAGCGTCCTGCCAAGGCAAGTGACCTCGAGGAAACACTGCATGCTGTGTGGTGAGTTGGAACCAGGAAAACCTGGAGTGGACTTTTAGTGGTTTAAGAATTCTCCTATTAATCAAGTGGAATGGATTAGTTAAGAAAGAAATAGAAACAGCACTAAATGTGAGGTGGACACCTCCCCTTTTTTTTTTTTACATATAACTAACTTAACAACTATGTCTTCAGACATGAACTCTATTTTTTTTTTTTTTACCCGAAGGTCCTGGGTTCGATCCCCGGTCATTGCACATGTCGTGATGTCTCTGAGCAGGACACTTAATCCCGAATTGCTCCCCGGGCACTTACGTAGCTGCCCACTGCTCCACCTGGGTGTATCCCAGGTGAGATGGGTTAAATGCAGAGAACCAATTTCGTCTTTGTATGGGAACATACAACGATGACAACACATAACACTTTATTTTTTATTTTATTTAAACTGAAGCAATTTAAAGAGCTATCTACAACGGGTAAGATATTAATTTTTCATAAAGTCATGATCCTAGGGTTTAGTGTTTCGTATTTCAGTCACATTTTTCTTTGTTGTATTCAAAAATATTTAGTGTGTCATTCTTCCATTCAGTTAATCACACCCACCTGCTCGTCATCTGCTCATTCGCCTCAGCTGCACTCATTTAGTCATCAGCCCTCCCAGCATACTCATACTCCCAGTTTACGCTCATTCATTACCTCATCATACTGTTTGCTCACGGTTTCATAGTGTAGCATATTTGAGTGAATGGAGGAAGAAGGTTGACACTTGCTCTTCACTATACTACGCTTTTTTTAATGTAATTTAATTGTCTTTGACGTTTTATTACAAAAACAATTAATCAAACTAAAACTGATCAACAATAATGAATAAATTGAACACAACTGATAAAGAATTTGGAGAATAACTCGCGTGGAAAGTAAAGTAAACTTTCACACCCACGAGAAACTTTAAAGAAAACTGTTGAGGGTGAATCTGGTGGACAGTAAGGGTCAGAGGTCAAGGCTAGGGGGAGCGCATCTTGGTGCGACATCAGTGTTTTAGTTTTTAGGTGCTCCAGGTTTATGTTTGTTTTGTTAGTCAGCTTTCAGTTTGATTCAAGTCTTTATTTTTATTCATGTAGCTTCCCCGTGTTTAAGTTTGATTTTTGATGCTTTTACCGACCACCACTTAACACAAAAACTTCCACAGAACCACAGTTCAAACTGGACAAACTTTCCCTTTTAACAATTTTAACAATCCCCATTGACAGTAGTAAGTTTTGCCCTGTTACTGATACAATAAAATTTAATAAAATGACAGCAGAAACAAAAATAAACTCTGAAACGTTGCGTCTATCCATTTTCTTCATCCACTTCTCTTTTCTGGGTTGCAGGGGTCTCTGGAGTCTGTCTCCAGAGACAGGGAACAACCTGGACAGGTTGCACGTCCATCACAGGGACATAGAGACAATTAAGTTAGTAATTACACCTGGAGAAAACCCATGTGACATGCACTCTGCCTGACGCCAAAGACCTGCTAACATCTCTGTTCGACCTTTATAACACAACTTGGACTCCGTATTTTTCTGGTAAGACTGAACTCATCTCTATTTTTATCTAAACGACATCAGCATGTCCCAGCAGTGAACAGAACCATAAACCAATGCAACTGTTGACTCATTTTGCACGGAGGAATGAAGACGAGCAGAAACAAGAGAAGTGATTAAATAGGTTTATTTGATTTACAGACATGTACATTTTCAATTAACACTCCCCTTCCCCCACTTCCTCCCCCCACGGGAGTATCACAGTTGAGTTTTATCATATTCTTTTGAGTTCTCTGACACGTCTTGCTAACTAAAAATAAAAATAACCTCTTTTTTTTTCTGCTCAACATCAGAAATAGGGTTCTTTATACATGATTCTTGTATAACAAGAAACACATTTTCTGGACATCGCCTCAGCGATGATTAATGTAGAATAAATCAACACAACAAGCTATAGAACTGGTGCTAAATCAACTCCGTTTTGGCAAAAAGTGAAACTCAGTTTATGACCCATCTGACCAGAGCCCACGTTCCTCAACATCAGGACTTTTTTTGTACAACAACGGTGAAGTGACCTTCTGAGACGGAGAAGACGGTGCCAGGCTGTGGTTCAAACAAACCCCTGAACATTAAGTGTGCAAAATGGGTTGTTCAGTTGTTCCAGAATTTAAAAAAAAAAATCAAAAAAATTACACAAGAGCTACAAAAACACGAATGCAAAAAGCATTGCATCCTTACAACGGGCCGTGTTAAATTGATCACGCTGCATTCTTTGAGTGTATACATGTAAGATGTCCAATCCATGATCACAGTAAAAAGGATAAATCTTACTAATGTAAAAAGTTTTTTTTTTGTTTTTTGGACTAATTCTTGTACAAAAAGGTAACAACTAGGCATTTAAAAACCCGATGACACAATAAAGTGTAGTATATTCAAACTTTAAACTTCCCTTTTATAGAATATTCTTCATTATGGTAACAAACAAATAAATACATTGCATCCAAGTCATCATTTACAATATATTAAACTTACTGCATGATATAGCTATATATATATATTTATATATTGTAGTTCATTAAAAAGTCATTTGGTAACATCAAAAGAGACAAGAAAACTGATAAACGGAAGGGAAGAAGTTTAGTTCAGTAAGAAGATGGAGGCGTGTGAACACAATCACATTCAGAGAGCTCCATGCAGCTGGAGAGAAGCTAAAGCTAAAGCTAACGATCGAACACTGAGGACACAGAGAGCCCACACATGATGAGTGAGTCTCCTGGTCCTCCTCAGGTCAGGTCAGTCCACCTCCTCCTCCACTTCCTATTTTTGTCTCAGAGGTCTGAAAAGTGCTTTTGTTCCATTTATGTACAAGTTTTTAAACCTTTGAGGCCACGGGCTGCACCAAGGTTTCAGTATAGAGAAATTCACTACAGAAAAAGAAAATCCTTCACATGGTCGTTGTATTTACAGCTGACAGCTTCACTGACTTTCTCCTAGTTTCCAAATAATGCATAGTGAAATTTGACGAGACATTTTGGGTGCGAGTATTGAGAGGGACGTCACGACATCTGATCACGTGCTGCTTTCAAAGACTTCTCATCAATGATGGGGTCTCTCCAGTCTGACCTGAGGCTCTGGACGTTTTGGTTTAGATTCTTATCACTAATAAACCGATGACTGCATCTCAGGCCTTTTAAAGGTCCTTTCAGCAAACCATGGAATCAGATATCTTCGATTGCACGGGGAAAAGGTCTCTCCTCACAATGTCTTATTGTAACCCTCGACGACTGGGAAGCATCATTTCAAAGGGTTGTTTTGTGTCCAGAAACTCAAAACCAACCATCAGCGAGCCCCCTTTCTTAATGAAAATCCAGCTCACTGATAAGGCAGAGTGGATAAGAAATGGTTGGTTCATTTAAATTTATACATATTGCTTTTTATCTACGTAAAACACAACTGTCACCCTTTTCAAGTCAAAAGAGTTGCATTCCTTTTTTTTTTTCCTCCTTGTAAAGCTGATATGAGCACAAACATAATAAATTACAAAACATAAACTCCAGTGTCGGCTTTAAATCACTCAGATTGCATCATCATTCTTTTAAAACAATCAAAGGTAACAACCTTCAGTTTTAAACCTAACAAAACACAAAAAAGATGTAAAAAAAAATAAAAATCACAGAAATCCTTAGGATATGTGCAGGTATCTCTCCAAGCTGTCACGTTTGTCTGGCACTGTCTGCACTGATTTAAGTGCTAAAAGCTCAAGAGATAACTTTTACCGCGGTTCATTGAAACGCCTGCAGACGTGAAAGTTCCCGTTCTTAAGGCAGATTTACTGACCTTAAAACTGTAACACTTTTTTGGCTTTTGTCTGACCACTATGTTTACATGCACAGCAAAACTGAAGAGAATACTGCATCTATCGAGTAAACCATGTTTGTCCAGGTAATACCGTGATCCAGGTGAGCACAGTAAGCTGATGTCGGTCACGCTTTGAGAATTCTGGTCTAACGTCCTTCGTTCTACGACTTCATCGCTTTCTGTTTTACAGGCTCCAAGTGCTAAAAGTTCACAAACTGTGGGAAAAGTCCTAATTGCACATACATAGAGGGATGAAGAGCTGATCTGCAGCGTGCATGTAAACATAGTCAGTGAACTCAGTGCAAAGTCCGAAGGAATGTATTGAGGCTATGGCACTTGGTGCAGATTGACAGCCAATGGAAGAAACAGACAGACACAGAAGAAACAAACTGTTGGGCAGGCAGGCAGGCAGGCAGGCAGGGCAGGTAGTCATTCAGTAGTATGGCATCAGGAGTCAGAGGGGGTCCTGGAGGACGACACCACTCCACGATCCACCATCCTTGGAAGGTTCAGTGGATCCTCACAGACTGAGATCAGGACGTCTCTGTCTGTGAGAGAGATTTAGGAGGGGCAAGACGCTCCCTCCTTTTCAGTTCTGAGTTGCCTCCAAACGAGTGTAAAATGTAAAAGAAGCATCAGGAGTCAACAAGAGGAGGGTCATAGCGTGGACAAAAGGACGGAGGACGTGACGGTGGCTCCCTCGGTCTTCTTTATCCCCATTTTAACATCCTTACAGAGTTCAGAAGGCTCCTTGTTTGCTTATCACCTGGAACAGAGAAACAGAGGCAGAAATGTTGCTGTTAGACCAGATGTGTCAAACTCAAGGCCCGGGGGCCAAATGTGGCCCTCATTGACATCTTATCTGGCCCCCAAGACGATATGTGAAACATAAAATACTTCTATCTCTTGAATTTTTTTCAGTAATCTTTGATTATGATGTCAAAAGTAGAGAACATCAAATGAGACCAATCAAACTCTTGTTGAGGAACCTGTGATCAAGAAAAGATGCTGGGTGTCTGATTTGAGTTAATGTAGATTCTGAAATTGGCCTTCAGGTGTGCTGAAGCAGAGAAACATCTAAAACAAGGAGGAAAGTGGTCCTCAAGGACCAAGGCTGGACACCACCAGTGTAAACCTAAGAACACAACACAGATACCTCACCAGGACCAGCCTGTGACCCACATATATTCTGCTCACAATATACAATGCAAAGTGCAGTTTCTCCTCATCTGTAGCACATCTGTAAGCTGCAGAGGAGTAAATACCACTGCTGTGTGCCAGATGAGGGTCCTTTATCCACGCCACGCAGGCACAGATGCATAAAAAATACCAAAAGAAAAGGTTTCTTGCACTTAAAGTGCAGTCTACATTACAATAACTGAGTTTTAAATGATTTCTAAATGTCCACTTCCAGTAAAGATGAACAAATCCAGCAGTTTAAAATGGCAGACTCTTTTTTGGAATATCGTATCTGATTTGTTAAAATCTTATCCAAATAAGTGTTGCTACATACACTGTAGAGAAAGTGTAAAGAGAACCAAGTCCAAAATTAAAATTAAATGTCAAATGCCACCAGTGGAAAACATTGCAGAGTGAATAGTACAGCAAGTCTCTGAGAAAAAAACTTTAGTCGTGTAATCAATGGTTTCAAGTTTATAAGTGGTTGAAGCATCTGGTCGTCACAACATTTTATGTGTCTGCAGCGTTTATTAGTTGGAGATACGACAAGTTCAAAAGATTTCTCGCTTTTAGATTTAAAGAGAAACTTGTGATCTTAGAGACAATGGAGGTCAATGAGAGTTCGGATGAGTGCATTCTGTCTGTGGGGATTTGGGAGGAAACCACAAGTCCTGTAGCAGCGAGACACGTTAGGTAAAGAGACGAGAAGTACATTTAGATGTGTAAACTGTGCAAGAAGTGTAGGATTTGTGGGACTAAAAACAGCTTGTATCCTGTTTCGTGGCCTTTGAAATGGTTTGATTTGCCTTCCTTGTTTGAGCTTTCAATAAATTCCAGTTTGACTTTATGTAACAAAATGGGTTTTATGGTCTTCTTTATTTTCTGCTAGTGTTTTTGTTAGTTGTTCAGTTTAATATTAGGTTATTGTTTTGATGTTTTCACGACCTGTTTTATCTTGTGCACCCCTGTACCGATTGGTGTCAGAAGCATTTGTAATGTGGGGGGACACAGTGGTGGGGGAGTCCACACCCAGAACGTTTACCTACATAAGTAAATACTTGATTCAATAACTATTTTAGAGTAGCCTGACCAACAGCCCCCCTCACCCGATCGACAACTGCCGGCACTAACGTAGTGCTGAGCTAGCCCGCAACGCAGAGGTGTCTCCCCCTCCTGCCCCTGCCTTGTTGATAAAAAAAACTCAGAGATGAGTGTCCTGTCGAAGCAAGTGACCTCGAGGAAACACTACAGTGTGGCGAGTTGTTGTAGGTAACCTGGAAAACCCGGAGTGGACTTTTAGTGGTTTGACTATTCTTCAATTAATCAAGTGGAATGGATTTGTTCACGAAGAAATAGAAACAGCGTTGAGTGAACTACAGTAACATTTTATGGTAAATGTGTGTGTGTGTGGGGGGGAAGGTGTCCAAATGAATCCATCCATCCATTACCCACTTCTTCCTTTTCAGGTCATGTGGGTCACTGGTGCCCATGTCCAACTATCACTGTGTGAGAGGCGGGGGACACCCTGGACAGGTCTCCAGTCCATCACAGGGACACATAGAGACAAACGAGACAAACAACCATTCACTCTCTCACCCTCACCTAGGGACAATTTAGTTACCAATCAGTCTAACATGCATGTTTTTGGTCTGTAGGCGGCGAACCTGGAGAAAACCCACGCATGCACGGAGAGAACATGCAAACTCCACCCAGAAAGATTCCAGTTGGGATTTGAACCAGGGACCTGCTCTCTGAGAGGCGGCAGCTCTACCAAGTGTGCCACCACCTGGTCCAAATTAAGTTGTTGTTGTTTTTTTTATGTGAGGAGGCCACATCCCCTTCACATAAAATTGTTACGACAGCTATGCCTGTACCTCATTCCTAATCACCTCACCTGCCTCCATCAATATAAGCTTTTTGGTTTTACTTGAGGTTTTGTCCAGATGTTGTATGTGTCCTTTACAACCACAAACATTATAATTTGTTAGCAACATTTTGAAAAACTCAGCTCAAAACGTTTGTTTTGTTTTTCAAATGCCCTCTATATGAGACTAACCTGTACAAATAAAGGTTGAATATTGTATATCTATTGCTTCCGAATGTCCTATTATTCCATCTCTGTTGATGTATTAGTACACATTTTGCCAAAACTACAGGAGTAGTGAAGCGAAAACCGTGACAGAAATAGTGAAACAAAAAGGGTGTTTCACTACTTGTGCATTGGCACTCTCATTAGATATGTAGATACACCTAATTAAAGCTCACAAGTCAGGACCATGTGGTGCCAGACTGAAAGCTATATTTATATTTTGGCGCGTGGACCATTAACTCTCATGGTGCCACACATGTGATCTCCTCAGCCTGGATGTGAGACAGTTGGGGGTACGTCCTGATGTTTGTTGAAGTCTACCATTATGTTGCCCTGGCTGGCACACAGTTGCTACAAATGGATCAGTTGAGTGACGCTCTGCACTAATGTCTCTAACACATACCCACCCACCCACAGCCCCTCATGAGCAGATACAGACTCTGACCCTGTAATCCCAGCAGGGTTCGACTGGCTTTAACAGGGGGGGGTTGTGTTATATTTGAACCAGTTGTTTTTCATCGTGTGTCTGCAGATCTAACACTTTTAGGACGAACAATCATCCTCAGCTGTTACCGTCACTGACTGCTGTATTGTTTGTGAGCTGAGCTTTAAAGGCAGAACTGCCTGTCTGATTTAGAGACAATTGGAGTTGTGGAAGCTCTGATGTGTGTGCGAGTGGCCCCCTTGTTAACAGCTCCGCTGTTACTGTTCTGCAGCGTGTTGGCTTCACGAGCAAACGGGACGGCTAATTGGACTGGCAGCTGAACAAAGTCGACTCAAACGGACTTGCGGCGTGTTTTTTGGCTGAAAGGACGCAAATCCTGACTGAGCACGCCTGGGCTGCTGCAGATCTGAAGGGCTTTACCTTTAAACTGAAACTAGTGAGAAGGCAGGCGGACTCCCTCTTTAGGCCTTTTATCTTCCTCGCTTCATCAAAGATAAAAAAGGTTTTCCGAACACTTCATACGCCGCTCGGGTCATGAGAGCGTGTTACCCCTTTTTGTGTGCGTGTGGTCTGCGGTGGCACGGTGAACCACAGACTGAGGACTTCTGAACGATAAGAGCACAAGGCAGGAAAGAATGTGCCTGCAGCTGTCTAAACACCTGCAACGCTTAAACTTTGGATGGCAGTGGCTGGATCAGAGTTTAGCCCTGTGAAGGGATTTTTCCCCGTGTGCCACATGAGACTGTAGTTCCTGAATGAGTGCAAAGCTCCGCTGTCAGGTCTCCTACTGATGTTTTGACAGCCCCTAACTCAGGGATGTCCTGCTGTTAACGCTGTGGTGTGGGCAACGAGGAGGAGGAAACCTGTCCAGAAGAGGCTGCAGAGGCATTTAATTGGATCTCACTGTAGCTCATCTCTGTTTGGGATTGCTTCGCTGGAGATTAATGGTTTGTGATGTGTAACAGCTTTAGCGATGACTGCTTCTCTTCATCCTCGTTTATTCAGCTGTGGCATCTTTTCTCTGCTCTACTAAACTGCTCTCATTCACACTGACTTCTTGTCAGATATTTTATTTTATTATTCCTAACGTAAATATTCACATTAAACTCAAAAGCAGCCTCTCGTCTTCGCGCATCTCACAGAGAACGGATGTTAAACGCGCTCGGCGTGCGTGTGAAGTGCTTGTCATCAGAGGCCAGGTGACCTGAGAAGAGCATCGATCTGTAAGTCCGACCCAAGGGAAAACATGTTGCACAGCGCTGATTGATAATAATCTGCGACCAAAGAGCTGAAAATCAATTGTCACGGAGTGCTGCTTCGGCTCTGCTGCTGGACAGAACTCGTTCAGCTCTGACCTGTGTAGCCGTGACCACAGCCCTCCATAGTTAGTCCAGTTTGACGGAGGGGGCAGAATGCTGGAGCTGCTGTGTGGGACTGGAAACTGATGGATCCCCTGAAACACAATGTACCTGTCATGTCACCTGTTGCTAGCTGCTAATATCACCCTGCCAATGCTAATGACACCGCCTGCAGAGAAGGACAAAGCTGCAGATTTTAGCATTTTTCCACTCATGCATACAAACTGTGCGCCTGTTTCAAGGATGAATATTTGTAGATGAGTTTGTGACCGTTTGAGCAGTTCTCGATTCTGTTCCGTCAACTAATTCATCCTCATATTTCTTGTTGTGTGTATGTTTATTAAACTTATTAAGCCTGGTTATGCTCCTTTCAGCTTTTTCTGCAAATTTCAGCTTTTTCTGCTATTTCAGCTCCTATTTAGCTGTTTTTATGTTAATATTAGCATTTTCAACTAGACATTTTTGTTGCTAATTTCAACTTTTTTCAGCCCATTTCAGCAAAAATGTGCTCTCTCTACTTGTTCCTAATAAATTTAAGCTTGTTTCTGCTTTTTTAGCTACTCTTCAGCTGGTTTTTGTTAATTTCTGCTTTCTTCAGATAATTTCCACTTTTTGTGCTCATTTCTGCTTCTTTCAGCCTAACTGGGAAAACTTGTGCTCTCTCAGCTTTCTTCTGCTAATTTAAGCTTCTTTCTGCTATTTTTAGCTACTCTTCAGCTGTTTTGTTTTTTTGTTGCTAATTTCTGCTTTCTTCAAATAATTTCCACTTGTTGGTCTCATTTCGGCTTCTTTCAGCCTAATTGAGTAAATGTGTTCTTTCTGCAGTCTTTTGCTAATTTAAACTTCATCTACCTTATCAGATAGATTTTTAGCATTTGTTAGCTAATTCCAGCTGTTTTCAGATAAATTCAAGTTTTTTTGTGATAATTGCTGCCATTTTCAGCCTAATCAACTTATTTCTGCTAATTTCAGCTTATTATGCTCCTTTCAGCTTTTTCTGCTATTTTAGCTACTATTTAGCTGTTGTGTGCTAATTTAATATTTTTCAGCCAATTCCACATTTTTAGCTAATTTTGGCTCTTTCCACTTCCTTCTGGTGGGTTAAGCTTTGTTTTGCTTTTTCAGCTAATTTTCAGCTATTTTTTTTTTTTAGTTGTTGCTAATTTCAGTTTTGTTTTTTTGGCTAACTTCCTGTTTATGTGCTGCCTATTTAAACCTATTTCAGTAAATATGTGTTATTTCTGCTTTTGTTTCCTAATTTAGGCATCTTCTTCCATTTAAGTTACATTTCAGCTGTTTTATAGCAAATTCTTCAGCAATAAGCATTCACAATGCATTTTTGCAGGAGATGCAATTTCTCTAGTTTCATTTGGCGTAGTACCTATCCTCCTTATTTACAGTCAATCCATAAAGTTCAAAAGTCTTTTGTAAGAATTGTCACTAACTCTCCACATTTAGCTCCATCCACACCTCTGTTGAATAACTTAGACATTCTTACAGTTTATGATGTGAATAAGTATCAAACAGGAATCTTAATGTATAAAGTTAAATGTATTCCATTATCTTTACCTAAATATTTTCATAATTTCTTTGAGTTTAATTCTTATTATCATTCATACTCTACAAGGAGGAGTTATGATTTACAACATCCTCTTCTGCAGAGCCGCTGTTGCCAAATGTTCATAAGTGAATCATGTACAAGATTATCTGAATTTAAAAGAAAGTTGAAACAAAGCTTATAGTTTTAACACATTTACATTTATTGTTATTATTTTAATATATTTTAGACTATTTAAAGTTATTATAATATATTATCTATTGTGTTTGTGTGTGTTTAAAGTAAGATATAAGCTTATTTATAAAGCTTTTATGATTTCTTTATTTATTTTTTAAAGGGGGTTTTGGGTTTTTATGACCTCCTGCACATTTTGTTTTCATCTTTTCCTTTATGAGTGTTGTTTCTTTTTTGTGCAAACAATAAAAATAATAAAATTACACGCCGTGCTCTGAAACTGAACCTTTTGTTGTTCTTTAACAAAGTTTCTCTCGACGTTCGTTGATGAAGCACCAAACCACCTCGCTGACACGTTCAGGAACGTCTCGGATATGAAATCTGAGTTTCTGTCTTTGGTTTAGTTACGTTTTTCTTGGCTTTGTCACTTTTTTTTTGTTTGTTTCCACCGTCTGTATGAGCTTCCTGTTATTCAGTGTTGTTCTAGAAATAAGTTAGAGAATGCAAACATAACTTTGCACCCCCACAAAGGTTTTCCACTCAGTCGTCTGTTCATCACAAATATTGCAGGGCTGCTTTGGCAAACAATGTTTCCTGAGCTGGAGCTGGTTCATCCTGTCAGTTTTCCTACCCACCTCAGTTTCCTGCTTTTCTCAAGCTGGCGTAGTTCTTGTTATTTTACAATCAGATCAGGACGTCTTGTTCAAAGGGGCACGGTGGCAACTTTGTTGAGAAGTGTTTTGTTTTTATGCATATTATAATCATGTATCTTTGTGTCTGCTCTCGGATTCCCATTGAGGACACAAACGGAGCGTTACTGAAAGTCGCAGGAACCAAACATGAAGTTTAAACATTATTAACCTTTTGTTTGGTCTGTATACATTTCAGCAAACAGACCCAGCTTATTAAAAAGCCGCAGTACGAACCTTGACCTTTCGCTCTAAATTTGATAACCTTTACAAACAAGTCACAACAGATTCCTTGTGTTCCTTATCAGGAGCCAGAGTTGATTCTTGTTATTCTTTAATGGCAGCCATTGTCCCTGCCATTATTGTGTTTTTCTTCTGGATTAATCATTACAGGCCTTGTGTGTGTGAGAGAGTCTGATAAAGGCAGGAAGTAGGAAAGGCAGCTCAGGTCTTGATAAGATGCCGTGTCGTCAGCCAACTCCAAGAACGCCTGAACCTTTCTGAGTATGATGTGACGGGAAACAGTTCACGGAGCAAACACTTCCACATCATAATGTTTGACTCCTCCGTCTGTAAAAATGGGTTTTAATAACAGGGGTCTCCACCTGGTGCTTGTCAGGTAACGAGGAGAGCTCTTTAATATTCAAGAGGTGTCTCTGTTATAACGCTCGGAGCGCGTGTCGAAGGACAGCGTGCGCAGGAGAAGACGGTTTACCTGGTCATACCTTGACTGAGGAGGGTGGACGGGTCAGCTGGTTCAGCCTGAAAAGAGAAAAATCATTCGTTAAAGGCACACGCAGCGTTCAGGCTTCTCTTTAAGTTTCTCCTACAACCTCCACTCTGGAAAAGCTGGGACACTCTGTCAAATGTAAATGTACGCAGAAACCCATATTTTAATCACAATGAAACCCAGTAAACACGTTTAAACAAAAAAAAAAGTACCAATTCTAGGAAAATAAAAAAGGTACTTTTGAATTTTATGGCAGTGAAACATTTTTAGAACGTTGGCAAAGGGGGCACCAAAAGGCTCTGAATGTAATTATGAATGAGAAACAGCTGGAAGAGCTTTCTGCAACGAATGAGCTGAGTTGACAACAGGTCAGTGAGAGGACTTGGTTTAATAAGAGCATCTTAGAAGCTGAACTATCAGAAGTAAAGATGGGCAGAGGTTCAGCTGTATGTGAAATACTGCACCTAGAAGTAGAGGAACCATAAGAATGATGTTCTGCTAGGAGAAATGGTAAAGTCTTTGAATATCCCATCATTTATAATCAAAGGATTTCAAGAATCTGGAGAACTATATGAGCTTAAAGGACAAGGATGAAGATCAGTACTGGGTGTCTGGGAT